AGTTGCGCACAAATGAGGGGAAGAAAGATGTTGTGCAATGGGCAACAACATCTGTCCAGAGATCTGAGAGACGGAAAAATTCCTATTTCCGATGTAATCGTGCAGTCCCTTTTCCCAGATACGCACTCACACAGGGAAGGAAGTCGAAGAAAAGCTCGCCTTATTGTACTGCTTTCCTTAAGGCGCGGATTTGCGTTTCTTACAATTTAGTCTCACTTCATTAAACAATTAACTCTGCGATTCAGGTGTATGAAGAAGAGCGTACTATCACTGTGACGTTCTGCGACAAACATTGTGGTCACACGGAAGAGCCTGCTTTTTTGAGACTTGACAAGGACTCGGAGAGCTATATCCTCAGCATGCTCAAAGAGGGATTCACTTTCAACCAAATTCTGAGGAAGTTGAGAGCTGAATGTAGGAATCAGGAGAGGAATATCCGACTGCACTACACTACAGCACAGTTTTACTGTTTCAGGAACATAGCCAAACGGCACAATATGGAGCCCGGAAAAAGCATGCCCTCGATCTGGAGTCAGTTGAAATTAGAGTGAACGAGGCTTCCGAAGAAGACGGGATTCGGCGTTACCTTCGTGCCACCGACGAGTCTGAAGATGGGTTTGTGATGGGTATGAATGTCTCGTAGTTAAAGCCCATTCATGTCTCATTATATTGATTTCAGTGATATAGGCCGACGTGGTATATCAATAGACGATGTATCAATTAACAAGGTATTGTCTACGCCTTGCCACAGTAATTGTGGCAGATGAATCTGACATGGGGCTGCCCGGTGCATACCTTTTATCGCACAGTTATCTTCATTCAGGCTGGTAAATTTGTGAACGCAATTGTGCTCTTTTAGGATGACTGAAAATGCAATTGTGCTCTTTTAGGATGACTGAAAATGAGGTCTTCGAACTATTCGATGTTATTAAAGAGAACATGCCCGATTTTGACCCTAAGCTATTCATGACGGATGAACCAATAGTTTCTATAATGGATTTCTGCGGGCTTTTCCGAACTCCGGTGCTTTGAAGCTTCTTTGTTGCTTCCACGTTCTTCAGAAAATAAAGCTTAACTGCGAATCGAAACTTGTTGAAGTGAGTCGGGATTTCTAAAATAGATATATACCATTAATTTCTGTTCCGATGGTCCTTGCAGAAGAAACGTACCGATATGATAGTCGACAGAGTGCGTTCGCTTTGTCGCCTGTCTGATCACGGAGATTTCGCTAACCAGTACGCCTCGTTCCTGACATATCTGCAGCAGCAAAAAGAACACCAGTTTTGAACGTACACGGAGGAACCTGGTACCTTCTTTTACTCCAACCCACGTGTAAGTAGGCCATATTCACGTAGTTGTAGGAGTCACAGAGTCGAGCAATGGTTATAATTCGCGAGAGGTAATGCTTGTATGAACACATCAATGCTCGGAGAACGCTTTCATAAAAGGCTGAAACATGAACTGCCAGATGCTAAACCCAACATGCGCATTCGAATCGCGTTCTAGAGATAATCATTTCCCTCACTTCTGAGATGGAACGAGGACCGCAGCATTAAGGTGGTAGAGTTGCCCTCTGGATTCGACTATCTCGAAAAGCCAACATTTTCTCTTTTTAGATGAAAAGAGGCTTGTTCGAGGGGCGGTATCGCCTTAGACAGCAACATCGTCAGCACGAGAAAGCAGTCGAAAGCGATTGGAAGGAGGATTGAAGGAGGGCGATCTACAACGTGTGCCAGTTGGACTGTCCTTGCGATCCAGAGGTGAGGAAAGTAGCAGTGTGAAATTCATTTCAAAGAAGTGCAGTAATTTAGCTTGAACAACCACTGCACAAGGGGCGCTTGCCAAGCATGTGGATATGGTTTTCGGTGCGACTGTGAGGAAAACGTGTTGTCTGGCATCTCCTGCCATCATGTGCACGCTAGTTTGATTTATGCTCCCCCAGGCTAGTGTTGTGACCTTCACGAATATAGGTCAGTCTGCTCTTAACTCTTATTTTTCAGGTAAAAAGACAGAGATAACCAATCCAGAAGGACGCCCCGACTTGACGAGTCACGATACAGTCGAATCGCATGAAGTATTTGAGCCCTCAGAACAATCTCGTGTTCAAGAAAAGAGACTTTCACAGACCGGGATTATTGACTCGAACAACAATTTCACCCATGAAAGTAATTCTGTAAGATCGTTTCGATACCTATCAAATTTAAACTACTATTGAGTCAAGATATTTGCAGACCTACGCAGTAATTCGTCATAATACGCTAAAAGTCACGAAGATTCCGGATTTGGAAGTCAATGCTTGTCTTCGAAGATGTACTCGATTCTATGAGAGATATCAGACGTCAGGACTGATGACATTGTTAAGAAGAAGTGTCCGAGTCAGACAAAACAAATTGTTAAACGTGCAGAACTTTCCACACAGCGGAGGTGTGCGCCGTCATTCTCCAATTCGTAAACTACAACCGGTTAGTTTCTTAAACGCATGGTTTGAAAGCAATTGAGTCTCGTTTCTTGCAGAGGTCGTCTCAGAAGAAGAAGCAAGATACACAGAAAGAGCAGGAAACGCTTCCTTCATATGCTCAAGACGATGTGAACTTTTGCGCCGGCTTCCGGCAGAGACCCGAAAAACCCCACTGACAAGGAGAATACCCTGTGGTTAAAGTGCGACGTTTGCGGAAGATGGGCACATGAAGACTGCTGTCAGGAGGGCTCTAAATGCCCATTCGATGATGGTTCCTTTTCCTGTTCCCTTGGGGAAGATCGTGAGTAGGTATGGTAGGCATAAATTGGAAACGCTCTTTTTGACGAAAACAAGGATTGAAAGTTTTTAGGTAACTGCGTCAGCGTCAGCCCTTACGCTTAGGTATGATTCATTGAGTACTTCTTGGAATTTCTATCACTTTGCACGGTGCACTGCATATCTGACTACCTAGAGTCTTTTTAGGAAAGCCGAGCTATCCAATGAGGTCATGTTTACTGGTGCTCATATGCTATTTTCTGTACTCATATGTAGTACTTCGATAATACATCCATTCCTTTATTTGGTACTCTACCTCTCCGGAATCACAATTGCTTTTGAAACTGAAAACTCACTTAACCTTCACAGGTCACAAATGATGTAGTTTCACAGTTCTATCTCGAAGATTTCCGAGTGCGTTCCATGGAAACTGCCTTTGTTACATGAATATAAAGGTTAAATTGAGACTGAGTTTGAGGCTTCGAGCATCTGCAGGAATTCCATGAGCAGACGATGAGGAAAGTGTTCAGCAACAACCGAGATTGGTCAGAACATGAACAATTTCCCATCACGAATGTTTGATCTCTAGTGCGAAATCAGAAGAGACAACAGTAGATTATAGTGGGAGCTGGGTCCTACTGATGCCCCTGTGCAATTATTATTTTTGAAGCATTTCGAAAAGAGCCTTGAAATAACGTCTGAGGCTATTTCTTGAAGAGACCCGAACCTGAAACCCATAGACATGAAAGAAACTGCCATCAGAAAAGTTCCAGTTCATCCGCGCGAAATCAGAAGAGACAGTAGAAAATAGTGGTTGCTGTGTCCTAGTGACACGCTCATGCAATCATTATTTTTGCATTATTTGGAAAACTGAAAACTGAACTCGAAAAGAAGAAATTCAAAAGATCTCTACTCAATCGAAAGTTTCAATAGATTTCTACCTAAACTGAAAACTGAACTCCTCAATTGAAAGTTTGACTAGCACTCTAAACTGAAAATTGAACTCGAAAAGAACAGAATCAAAAGATTCTCAATTGAAAGTTTGAATAGATTACTACCTAAACTGAAAACTGAACGCGAAAGAACAGACTCAATAGATTTCTACTCAATCGAAATTCTATAGATTTCTACCTAATCGAAAATGCAAACAAAAGTGTTTGTAACAAACCGAATAGCAACTCGCGCTTACTTTACGACAGCAATTTTTATGTTGCTGTCGTGAGATGCTGTGTGGTGTGGACCCAGTTTATTCAAAGCTCCCTTCGGGGCATGGTGTCTCGTTGTTCGCCTACTGAAGTTGCCGTCTTGTGCTCCGAATACCCTCCCCCTACGTGCTAAATGGGTTCTGCGAATCACTTGAGAAACTTCAATGCTACCTCACTGTGTGCCATTTACTCTTTCCACCTTAAATTGTGTTGTTTATGATAAAGAGTCGACAAGAGACTCATTGCTATGCATACTCAACATTAGAGAATAGAAAAGAGCCTAGAAAGATGGCTCAAAATCGCTTTTCCTCAGCAAACTTTTCACTATTTTTTGGCATTCCCAGGAAAGCATAGCAAAGAACGAATCCCTTTTGTGATCCTTATATGAACCTGTACAACATACAACAAACCATTTCTAAAAAGCGCGTCACGACCTGCATGACTTCCCTTGTTAGTTGTTGCAGTTAGTGAATTCTTGTTTGTATGTATTTATATGTAAGCCTGTTACATGGGATTCCACAAAATTATTCGCGTCGGTAATTTTACATGTTTTACAATTGTATGAGCACCTGTACCTGAAGCCTTATTACAAAAGTCTTTTACGATGTGTTGTTCAGCCTCTCCCTTCGATTATGGTAAAAAAAGCCTTTGTTTTATGACCCAGTATCTAACTCAGAAGGCCGCTCAGGATATGGCGCTCTCGTTATAATCGTTCTTTGCATGATGTAGGGGGACGTGCATGGAATACCAAACTGACGTTCATTTTTCCTAAATGGCCTCTGGGAATACCAAAAAAGGAGTGAAAAAGAAGTCTATGGAAACCGATTGATTTTGAGCCTCTATGGGCTCTAAATCACTTGCAACTTTGGCCAGTTGCTGCTTGGAGGGTCCTTATAAAGAGGCTGTTAGAATCGAGGTCTAAAATTGTTCGCAAATGGGGTCTTACTTGTGCCACCGGCTCAAAGTGGATGGTTTCTTAGAATAGTTTCTTGAACGATTGGAGTTGCGTCCCGCATTATGGATCTGACGGCCTAGTGGAAAGCGTGGAGAATTCTCAATCGGACAGCGAGGGTGGGGGTGGTTTGACTCCCCTCTAGCTGTTATCGATTCCAAATAGGTCTGTGCATGAGTATAACATGGATATTTGCCGTTTATCGGCTCTCTCAATAGAGCACTTCATGGGTCGGTGCCATTAAAGGCAGCGCCCGCGTTCAATTTGATGAGTTATGGGGCTCAGGTAGTGACAACAAGGTAGCAAGTAGTCCATTAGTGAAAAAAATGCAAAAAAATCTTCGGATTTGCCCTATATAGGACCCCACGCCGAGCTGAGGTTGTACGTGCTTGAAGGCGAAGAGAAGGCGCGGCCGCACGAGTTCTCACTTGTTGATATCAGCTGTTTTCCCTTATCACCTCACTCTCACCATTCGAAGTGGAGAGAGTTAGTAGCAGAACAACCGCACCATCAGGCAACCATTAGAAATGAAGTTGGGCGTAGTGGTCGCCAGGTGGGCGGCCGACTCTTCACGAGCGGGCGCCGCTATTCTCTCGCATTTTTGAGTTGCGAAACTAGTACGTCCACCGCTACAATATCCAAAGAGGGCATGGGAACAACAAATGAACGCGGGCGCTGCCTTCAAACCACTTCAGGTTTCACATATCATTAAGCAAGATCGTCGGTGAAAGTTGATATTATGGGATAAACAGTGCCCTGATCACGAATATGGCCCTTACTTCTAGCTATGGTGCCATTTATTGCCAATTTCAAGCCCCATCCCTTTTCCCACTGAATTCGTTATGCATACTTATATAAGGGATTTCTGCGCTATTTTGGCGCCAAATTGCGTCGACGCTATGAATAAGTTTAAGAATCCTGATCAGGACCATCGATTACCCCTTTAGACCGATTTGCGACCAAGAGCATTTCCTTGGATTTTTCGTGTTCGGGTAAACCATTTAATCGGTGATGACAGGAGTCGCACTTCTTTGTGGCAGCGATGACGCGAGGATGACGTAGCTGGCCGCTAGGCGGCCGTGTCGCAACTTAGTGCGCCCAAGTTCATTTCATGCTTGGCATAAACCTGCTGGCTGCAGAATGCGTGGAAACTATCTGGACTTTTCTCGATCTATAGCGACTGCTCGCTCAACAAACATGTTATGCTCTCCTACCGAGAGAAGGTACCCATTCCACTTTTCCAAGTCAAAACATTTTTTAGGTTGAAAATCTGCCGAAAGCGGCAATCGATGGTCCTGATCACGATTCTGTCACTTCGTCATAGCGTCGACGCAATTTGGCGCCAGAATAGAGCAGCAGATCCCTTATATATGTATGCATAACGAATTCAGTGGAAAAAGAGGATGTGGGCTTGAAATTGGCAATAAATGGCCCCATAGCTAGAAGTAAGGGCCATGTTCGTGACCAGGGCACTGTTTATCCCGTAATATCAACTTTCGCCGACGATCTTGCTTAATGATATGTGAAACCTGAAGTGGTTGAATTGCACCGACCCATGGAGTGAACGGCAAATATCCATGTTATACTCATGCGCAGACATGTCTGGAAGCGAGAACAGCAAGATCTGAAAAATGCATCAAGGCGCTACGTCCTGAACCTCCATGGTAAGTGATGGGTAGTCCAACGCATACACGGAGAGGAATCTCTTCCGAAGGTTTCGGCAAGGCGCTGTCCTGGGGTTGGCGACCTTTGTTTGTCCCAAAGGGAACGATTAGCGCTGGAGGCGTCAAAAATTGATCCCTCTTGCCATTTTTGACTTGTATAACCCCATCAGCGCTAATCCCTATTTTTAGTAGAGGTATGGCCCTCGTTTTCGTTTTATCACGTTTTATCACACGGAAGGTTCTGTCATATTTTCTTTTCATAGAGAGGCGTGTAAGACTCAAAATTATACAGCAATGTTACTGCGGGGTTCTTGCCAGTTTTTGAGCACCTCATGGATGCCATCGCTTCACAATGCAGGCCGGCGCGACGCAAAGTTGGACATCATCTCAATTTTGACTTGGGCTCGGTTGTGGGGTTTTCTCGTCCATATAGCGGTTGAGTACGAGTGGCAAGTCGCACTTAGAAGGAGCAAA